TAATATGCCCAAACTTGTTGCATTCAAAACATTTTACTTGGTTATGAGCTGCCTTTTTATTGTTTTGAAATTTGCTGTTACTTACCAGTGCTGTGGACTCTTCTTTGTCATTATTTCTCTCCTCTTTAATCATTAACCTTGACGTTAATTCTGTGAGTGTTTGTTTATCATTATAAGATGACTTCAATGCTGTAACAAACTGCCTCAAATCACCCGGGAGTGCCATTAAAACCTTTGTTATAATCATTTTCTCACTGATTTCTTCTCCTAAATGCTTTAGACTTCCTTTAATTTCCTCTGCGTGGGATATAAATTCTGCAATGCCACCTTCTTTATACTCTAAATTAAGGAATCTTTGTTGGAGCAAATGTACACTAACTTGTGACTTGCGCTCGTATAGAGTTTGTAGCTTTGCTCACATTTCTGCTGATGTACTACACAGAATATGTGTAATTACCTTCTCATGAAGCCTCGATACGATAATTTCTTGTGCTTTTGCATCTTTTCTGTTATATTCTTCTGCATTGTGTGGTGTCCTAATAGTGGTTTACTTACAATGTCAAAACATGCCTTGGCCTTCAAGGTTACTAGCACTTGGAACCTCCAAGTCGTCCAATTTTCACCATTGAACTTTACCACTTGAATTGCCTGGTCTCCCGTTTTGGTTTTTACGCCCCAACTAGGTTTTCCTCGACGCAACCACCTGCACGAGTTTTATACACAAGAACAATATCGCGAACTATTATACTGTCCGTTTTTCCCGACCACGATACACAAAAGACGGTTTTCTTCAACACCAAAATCACGTTTTTACGATTTTACAAACTTAATCGCGAGCCTAGACCCATAACCAGTTGAAATTATTGATTTGGGCTTGTAAAATCAAGTACCTGAAACAACGACTGAAGACCAATCAGTTTATTTGTTAATAATGAACAACCGACCACACCAGGCCTATCAGACAACTGACATAGCAAGACAAGACACAACCCTAACCCTATTCTTATACCTACGTCAAAAAATTCAAAAACGTTAAGGTAGTTTTACACTTGCACCATGATTAACGTAACGTCGTTATAACTAAATACTAAAACGTAGTAATAAAATATTTATATTGATATATGTTATTTATGTATCTCTTTTAATAACTGATAATGCCTTTTATCCTCAGAGTCCACCTCTATCAAGTATAGCTATACCTACCTTTATAGCAAGAGCCGATATTATAGAATTTTTAATAGGTACTTATTTAGAAGGACCAGTCGTTCTAGTGCCTTAACGTATTGTTTGTCGATTTTTAACTGATACTTGCGGTATGAGGTGCGAGAGGGTGTTTCATATGGCAAAAACATGTGTGACGTCAGGTAATCATTGGCATTCTAATGTAGGGAGCCACCAGCTCACATTCCGTCCGAGTATCAGATTAAAATCGACGCACAATATGTCGATTCTTGAATACACAAATGAAATAAGGTTAGGAATTTCCTATTTGTACAGGGTGTTTTTTTATATATTGACATCCCACCTACAGCCTTTACCTTTACAGGTAGATGAAAGGTGTGAATACAAAAGTTGAATAGTATTGGCTAAATTTTTAGAATCCATGGTAAGAAACAAAAATTGAATGTCAGAAATGTGAAATATTGCATGCTTTCAGCTTTTTTCAAATGGGATGCCCTATATTTGGTTCTATATTCTTGAAAGGACAATTTCCCGATTCCAAAACTATATAGTTTGTCTATATTTGGTTGAGCCGTCTCCAACATATTTGGTTCTAAAAATTTTAAAAATAATATCAGAGAAACCAAGTACTTCAAATTTTACCTGCAACTTTCACCTGTACAGGTAGAATGGTTCAAAAAATCAGTAGTAGGATAGTATTTTTACAATTTTTGGAGCCAAATATATGAGAGATTGCTCAATCAAATATAGATCGGGGCTGTGCTCTTCAAGAATATAGAATGAAATACAGCATCCCATTTGAAAAAAGCTGGAAGCATGCAAAATTTCACATTTCTGACAAACGAATTTTGTTTCTGACCATGGTTTCAAAAAATTCAGTCAAAACTCTACAACTTTTGTATTTACACCTTTCTTCTACCTGTAAAGGTAAAAGCTGTAGGTGGGTTGTCAATATATGAAAAAACGCCCTGTACCAATAAGTGGATTATCGCGGAACTTATGGATGGACCTCTGCGGGACGAGCGCAGCGAGTTCCGCAGCCATCTACTTACCAATATACTGTTGAACTGTTCAAATAAGACACTCACTTGAAACGTGTAGTTTTTGAACTAATGAGAAAAATTCACAACTGAGTGAATCAGGTTAGTATTGTACTTGAACAACATATTGGTGAATAGATGGCTGGGTCCACCCATAAGTTCCGCAACAGTCCACTCGTTTGTACTTGAATAACTTGTCACAATATATTACTAGTTTGGTAAACTAACATTACTAATTCCGGTTGAAAGGCAAATTTACAAAAAGTGAATAATCTTACAAATTTTGACATTATATAATAAGTTATTGTTCAAGTACAAATAAGTGGATTGTTGCGGAACTTATGGGTGAACCTCTGCGGGACGAGCGCAGCGAGTTCCGCAGCCATTTACTCACCAATAAACTGTTGAACTGTTCAACTAAGACACTCACCTAAAACTTTTATTTTTCAAACTAATGAGAATAACTCACATTTGAGTGAGTCAGGTTAGTATCGTACCTACTTGAACAACATATTGGTGAATAGATGGCTGGGTCCAGCCATAAGTTCCGCAACAATCCACTCATTTGCACTTGAATAACTTGTCACAATATATTACTAGTTTGGTAAAGTAACATTACTAATTCCTGTTGAAAGGCATGATAAAAAGTGAATAATCTTACAAATTTTGACTTTATATAATAAGTTATTGTTCAAGTATAAATAAGTGGATTGTTGCGGAACTTATGGGTGAACCTCTGCGGGACTAGCGCAGCGAGTTCCGCAGCCATCTACTCACCAATATACTGTTGAACTGTTCAAATGAGACACTCACCTGAAACTTTAATTTTTCAAACTAATGAGAATAATTCACATTTGAGTGAGTCAGGTTAGTATCGTAATTAAACAACATATTGATAAATAGATGGCTGCGGAACTCGCTGCGCTCGTCCCGCAGAGGTCCACCCATAAGTTCCGCAACAATTCACTCATTTGTACTTGAATAACTTGTCACATTATATTACTAGTTTGGTAAAGTAACATTACTAATTCCTGTTAAAAGGCGAACTGATAAAAAGTGGATAATCTCACAAATTCTGACTTTATATAATAAGTTATTGTTCAAGTACAGGGTGTTTTTTTATATATTGACACCCCACCTACAGCCTTCACCTTTACAAGAAGATGAAAGGTGTAAATACAAAAGTGGTAGAGTACCTATTGGCTAAATTTTTAGAATCCATGGTCAGAAACAAAAATTGAACGTCAGAAACGTGAAATGTTGCATGCTTTCAGCTTTTTTCGAACGGGGTGCCCTATATTTGGTTCTTAATTCTTGAAAAGCACAATTTGCCGACTCCAAAACTATATAGTTTGTCTATATTTGGTTGAGCAGTCTCCAACATATTTGGTTCTAAAAATTTCAAAAATAATATCAAAGAAACCAAGTACTTCAAATTTTACTTGCAGCTTTCACCTGTACATGTAGAATGGTTCACAAATTCAGTAGTAGGATAGTATTTCTACAATTTTTGGAGCCGAATATATGAGAGACTGTTCAATCAAATATAGACATACTATATATTTTTGGAATCGGGGCATTGTGCTCTTCAAGAATATAAAATGAAATATAGGGCATCCCATTTCAAAAAAGCTGGAAGTAAAGTCTGTTTTTTTTTTTTAAGATAAAAGTCAAAATGACATTATGTTGGCAATACAATGTAAAATTGTCAATGCTTTCAAAGTTTTTATGTAGAAAAGGCTTGTGTTGCCAACATAGTTACTAGATTTTTGACTTGGGGAATTATCTTTAAAAAAAAACACACTTTATGCAAAATTTCACATTTCTGACAATCAAATTTTGTTGCTGACCATGGTTTCTAAAAATTCAGCCAAAACTGTACAACTTTTGTATTCATACCTTTCTTCTACCTTTAAAGGTAAAGGCTGTAGGTGGGGTGTCAATATATGAAAAACACCCTGTAGATGAAATCGACGTATTAGTAATCGACGTAATTTTGGTAATTTTTTGTTTTATCTGATTCGTGATTGATAAATAAGGATGGGGTTATTCTAAATGGGTGGTACTGAAAATACTATACTTCCAAAAATACTTCTATTTTACAATTTTACAAAAAACAATGTGACAACCTTTTAATCATTCAATAATAATGTCACTGTCATTCCTCTGACATAATCACAAAAATCTGGCGGTATATATGTATATCAAAAAATATAAATATAGGGGGGCTCTAGCTCTAACAGTAAGAAAGAGACACAAATAAAGTAGGATGAATTAAATTGCGACTCGAATTTTCATTATTCTCGGCGCTTGAGTGGGCTTCTAATTTCTGAGTTTTGACCAATCAAGAGCCTGGAATTTTAAAATACCTACTAAAGAACGATAGGGTCAGAAAAGAAAAAATACAAAATTTATGAACCAAAAAAAAAAGGGATTTCTGGATCAAGCCAGTGAATTGCAGGAAGGAAAGATAACTAGGGGTCGGTTTCTCAATAGCGAGTCACCTCCGGAAGGGTTAGTTGGTTTTAAGTTTTAACTCCAAGGTAAACGTGTCTACTTGCAATGTTTACCCTGAAGTTAGGCTCAACCCGAGGGTGAATTGCTATTGAGAAACCGGCTCTAGGTTATTTTGCAATTTAACACCCACCAATGAATAATAAAATTCGTCAAAATTCTGTCGTTTTTATTATCGTTTGGCAACGCAGCGTATTAGGCAAAATATCAAGCCCCACAGCTCGCGACAGGCTACGCGAGCGAAACTTTGAAAATAATTTCAGAATTTCAGTCTCTCCTGAATCGTCGTAGGCTATAGCCGGTCCTGGGTTCGTGCAGCTCTACACGTGACTTACGTGTTTTACTACTCGGTCTTTTTGGCGCCTCAATATAACGGGAGTGATTCAAAAAAGAAAAAATAATTGTCAATTATTGAATTATATTTTATTTAAATTTGAACGGTACATTTTTTTCATATTATGAATACTGTTGTCAACGATATCAAGAGCAGTCTTGCCGTTTTTTATGCACTTTTATTAACAGGTAAGAATTTTTGTTTTTTTTTTTTTTAAATTTTATTTTAACGTTTATTGAAATTTCTCACATATCATTATGGTTTAGAATTCCTCATACCAAACGCCTTTAGTTGAAAACAACTCTGGATTTTTAATTTCTATCTATACGTACCTATTGATTTTTTTTTTGGAGTTTTTTTTTTTAAATTTATTCTTTAATATGTTTTGTGATATACACCCGATACACCCAACTAGGTTTACTTCCTACACCTAAAATTAAAAACAAGTTCTGAGTTTTGTTTATCATTTGTCTGTTTTTGATATAATTTTTTTTTATTTACCTATTTGTCCATGCCATTGTCCGATAAAAAGTTTATAAATTGATTTTCTTTAATTTTTACATACATAATTATGTATTTTCTATTAAATTCATTTTCTTTTCCTTTGAAACCTACACATGAGTGCTCTTTTTGGGACAGGTACCTACTTAATTTTAATTTACAAGAATAATTAGTACCACTCTAATTTTTGTTTAGTATTATAATGGGTAGTTTCCATTCAATTTCAGTCAAACTGATAATTATTATTTGTTTACTTGAGCATTTACGAATTTACGATGAATGCCAGAGTAAAACATCACGCAACATGAACAATATTTATTTCGCCAAAAACTAGATGCGCACCTGAAATCCTGATATATACGCCAGAAGATTAATTACCGGTTCGTAAATATTTGTACATTGACAATATTTCCACAAATCTTCTTATTCAAATGCTGTAAACAAATCAAGAGTAGGTAAAGAGAAATCTATAAGATTTCGTGGAAAATAGAAAAAGGTTTCTATAGGTTTTGAAGTGGGAGTTAAAATTATCTCAGCTTTAATGTGCTTTTTTGCCAGGCAATTAAAATTAATTTAAATTCAGACTTATTCAAATTAGGTCACGAATAATATACGTAAAGATCAATAGGAATTATTTTGATTGAAAAGAAGCCTCTCGAAAGAAGCCTTAACAAAAATCTCATTTGAAATATAAATAAAAACAGGAAAATATATTTTTAATTAAAACGAAAAAAATAATTGTATATACAGCTTGAAAATTAATTATGAATTCTACAATTTTTTTAATTAATGAAGTCAGAAACCCTATAGAAATTGCTTCAATATACATCTATCTAGTCAACAAACCATTTTACCTTACCTTCTGGTGAAATATCGTGTTGTTAGCAATAAATACTTTATTTCGAGGTTAACAACATTTCCAATAATTGTCCAATAAATGCACATACACAATTATTTTCCCGGGTATTAGCTCGTACTTTTAATTATTGTTGCTACACAATATTTACTTTTCGGAGAATTATTGATTACCTATTTGGTACCTAGCAGGTAGCAGCCTACATTAGAAAAAAAAATCGAAGAAAATATTGCTATTAGTAGGTATAGGTATCACTGAAACAATCATTTATCGCTTTTACTTAACTTTATAATATAATAATTTTCTTATTTGAACTCACAGCAACTTACAAACTACGCACTTTATACAGGGTGTTACAAATTCATTTATTTACACAACTTTGGAGACCCATATCTTCAAAACCGTTACAAATATTGGAATGAAATTGATTTCATCTTGAAGAGCATTAAATTCTGATTCGGAATAGTTGTTTTTACATTGAAATATGTAAAATATTAACGGAGTGATAGATGATTTTGTGAGGCCATGTTGAATAAACGAAATTTTCAGAGACCAATAAGTCTTTTCAATTTGTTTCAAGCCTTGAAACCTCTAACATAGAGTTATCAGAATATTTTTTTACTAAATTTGACCTCCTTTCTCGATTGGTAAAGTTAGAAATTTGAAAAATTAAAAAAAATAATTTTTGATGTAGCACCAAAGCAGATCTATGGAAATCTATCACAAAGTTTTAACTTTGGAGACTCATATCTTCCAAACCATCTCAAATACTGGAATCAAACTTGTTTCATCCTGAAGAGAATTGAATTTTGATTCAAAATAGTTGTTTTTACATTGAAATATGTAAAATATTAACGGAGTGATAGATGATTTTGTGAGGCCATGTTGAATAAATGAAATTTTCAGAGACCAATAAGTCTTTTCAATTTGTTTCAAGCCTTGAAACCTCTAACATAGAGTTATCAGAATGTTTTTTTTTTACTAAATTTGACCTCCTTTTTCGATTGGTAAAGTTAGAAATTTGAAAAATTTAAAAAAATAATTTTTGATGTAGCACCAAAGCAGATCTATGGAAATCTATCACAAAGTTTTAACTTTGGAGACTCATATCTTCCAAACCATCTCAAATACTGGAATCAAACTTGTTTCATCCTGAAGAGAATTGAATTTTGATTCAAAATAGTTATTTTTTCATTGAAGTATGTGAAATATTAACAAAGTGATAGATGATTTTGTGAGGTCATGTCGAATAAATGAAATTTTCAGAAACCAATAAGTCTTTTCAATTTGTTTCAAGCCTTAAAACCTCTAACATAGAGTTGTCAGAATGTTTTTCTACTAAATTTAACCTTCTTTTTCGATTGGTGAAGCCAGAAAGTTGAAAAACCCAAAGGAATAATTTTTGACGAATGCCATAACACCAAGAGAGTTCTATGGAAATCTGACAATTAACACCACAGTTTCAGCTTTGAAGCCCCATATCTCCGAAACCGTTCCAAATATTGAAATCAAACTTGTTTTATCTTCAACAGCATTAAATTCAAAACCTGACATTTAGAAGTGTTGAGCATCACTTTCATATCATTTTATTATCTTTGAACCATTGACAAGTTGAATCTAAATAGCATTGTAGCTCCTGTGAGACCTGCAATGTGATAAACCTTCAATGAAGGTGCATATCGATTTTGTTATATCGAATAGAGACAAAATGTCACTAAATGATCATGCACCTTCATGTTTTCTCTATTCCAGGCTCTTGAAGGTTCCTTATTTCTAGATCCGGTGATAGACAAAAATTGAGCAGGAAAAATTCAGTTACGATACGCTTTTAATGAAGGTGCATATCGATACACTTTCGATAAAGGTGCATATCGAATTTATCGAGGGGGTAACCACTCAGTAAATATGGTGTACAAAAACTGTAATTTTTTGTAATTTTTGTAAATATCAGTAATTTTTAGTAATTTCTGGTAATTTTAGTAATTTTCAGTAATTTCTAGTAATTTTTAGTAATTTTTAGTAGTTTTTAGTAATTTTTAGTAATTTTTGGTAATTTTTGGTAATTTTTGGTAATTTTTGGTGATTTTTCAATAATATTCCAGTAATTTTTTATAAATTTTGAAGGGTATTTTACAAAAACGTGTCTAAAAAAATTATGTTGGAAGTTCTGTGGAAACTTCCTCATGACAAAAGCAATTGTATACATAAAATCTATACCGGGTGGGTCAATGCTCGAGCTCAAGCCAATGAAAAGAAAAGAAAAGAAAATAAAATAAAATAAAACGGATTTTTCATATTTATCGTCAGTTAAGAAAAAAGGCTCGGAACTGTTAATTTCTATTTTTGAGGGGGAAACTTTTTGCAAAGAATTTTAACTCGAGGTCTAAGGGATACCTATACGTCGCGTCGTATACGAAAAATTGTAGGTACGGGTGAAGGGTGAAACCATAGATAAGGGTGGAGTTGACCCCCCTAGGGGATGGTAGCAATGGATTGGAGTGATAATGTTGAAAATACGCACAAAAGTGTTCCCCGCGATAGAAAAATTGACGATAAAATATCGATACGGCTCGAAATACCTAATTACCGGAAGGCGGTCTTCATTGACAACAACGTGTGGTTTTTGCTTTAAAAACTGAAACTCCACGTAAAATTAAATTTTAGAGGTTAATTACACTCTGGCTCTGGCACGTCCCATTGTCACCAAAAGTAACTGGGACAGCATCACATTAGCTCTTGTCCTATTATATGAATCTTATTGTCAAATATTTGTCAAACTATGAATTAAATGCATTGAAATGAATGACAGTAAAATTAGTCTAGGAGATTATTATGCGTTATTTGTGTCCCAGATACTTTTGGTGACGATGGTACATGCCACAATTTGAAGAGCTCCATTGAGGTATAGAAGCAAGGATAATACACACTACTACTACTGTACTACAGGACATAGAGCTACAGGATGGCCTATCCTCATAGGCCAGTGTGTAACAAATCCCCGACCTCTACCTCCACCTTACGCCAAACTACCAGTTGTGACGTAGGCAGCATGTTATTTCTCGCCTTGACGTAGGCTCTTTAAACAGCTGACGACTTAGTTATGACGTCGGAAATGGTGACACAAAATATGGCGACGATTACCAAAAACGAGGCTGATAAGCAATCCTGTAGGTGTGTATCATCCTTGCTACAGAAACGCCTTCTACAACTTAACTGTCAATATTACATTCCTTCCTATAACGTGTGAGCTGTGTATGTACTGTGAAGTACATTCCTCTGTAATGAAAATTCGAGAAATTTAATATAAAACTTCTCGAAATGTATTGCATTAAAAGCCTATTTTGGCATTGGCACATCATTAAATGGCTAAACCCAAGGTTGTTTGAGAGAGGCCAGTTGCCTGACAGCTTCATGACGTCATCCGGCCGGGGTGCCTCAACACAATGCAAATTTCCATAGGGCTCCCCAGACGCGTCATCAGGCCACCCATCACAAGGCAACCCATAAATCTCAGGAACCTTGGGTTAAACCATATTATCCTCCTATAGCAATAACAATAACGCATAAAACTTGTTTCGAGTGAGCCAGGTGACGTCCCTAGAGCAGCGCGTGCCCCCGCTAAACTGGCGGAAAAATATCACCGATGTAACCATTCCCTTTGGTTTATCGTTCTTGATTAAAGATCACCTGAGCTCTATCCAAGGTTCCTAAAGGTGATAGGTTGTCCGGCAATGGGCAACCTGACGACGCATCTGGGGTGCTCTATGGAGATTTGCATTATGTTGAAGCATCTTAAATGATGTCATGCAGTCACAGGTCTATCGTCTTTTT